GTGTTGAGTGTTCGTTATAAAATTGGTTACACTTTGTATGTTATTTTCTCTGAAATTAAGCACTTTTTTTAAGATGCACATCTGAAAAAACTAAAAGCAGCCTTTAGTTTACTTAAATTCTGAATTTATTATTAGAGTAGTTATTATTTATTATCCCTCATGTTTGATGTGAAAACTGACAGTAAATATTTTTGAAATATTAGACTATTTGATTTGACAGGCAGTTGTTGACTAAAAACACATGTTGATACAACTATATGTTATAGCACTGAGTGATAATGCAATTTAGTTGTTATGATGTTCCGGACCTTTGCTTCGGGAAATTTTCTCTAACTGGACCTCTTTGAATTTTAATTCAATACCACCAGCATACAGCCTCGTCCAGAAAGAGGGAAAAAAAGAGAGAGATGAAACCTAACATTTAGGGCAGATTGCTATATCAACTACAATTGAGGAAAAGGAAAGATAACAGAAACAGAACATTTGACTAGATAAAATAACGATAAGAAGGAAACTGTTAAAAAGACATCATAAGAACAAACTAACACATTATATCTTCTTTAACTGAGGTACACATATCATGGAATCCATTCCGGCTGATCCATACTGGACTCCACTCCTCCTCCTCTGATATGCTCCAGTCCGAGAACCAGCCCGACTATCCTGAGGTTAAGATAAGATAAAACTTATATAACTTAATCCCCTGTAGGGGAAGTTTCGGTTGACATAGCAGTACAAAGGTATATAAAAGAACAGATGCAGTATTGTAGAAATATAAAAGAACAGATGCAGTATTGTAGAAGCTTCTGCTGAAACATGACACCGTAGCCATAGAGAGATGATGAACTAATCCAACATTAAAGACCTACAGAAGCACTGTTCTGGTCCGGTAATTCAACAAACTGCATTGCCCAGTTATGGAAATGCCAATAATAAAAAGAAAATTTGTTATTTGGAACATTGTTGAAGCAATGCAATTGGAGCAGTTTGGATAGTTTATCAAAGGATGCCACAATGACTGAACAAAGACAGCTGAGGAGCAAACCAGCTCAAACAACACCTCCACTTAGACACCTGCAGGACTTCCACAATATCAACAATATACTTGATTCCAGCTTTACAAGAAAGTAGGCTGGAGAACTGAATGGACACAGTACATGGATGCTATCACTGGATAAATGCTGCCTGTGTGTTGCAGGCCAGTCACAACAACATGTTTGCATGCATGAACAGATCCTGTAGAGCAAGGGTTTTCAAAGTCTGAGACTGTGGGCCTCCCCTCAGACAAAGCTTGGTAAATGGCTAGTTTTACTTGGTAAGTTTTGCTCAATTCCTGTGCCTATGGGATCATGATTATATTATTTCACCCCATAGACACTCAACATTTGAGCCAAAGTAGCGTAACACTGCTGTTTGACATAACGTCTGGCTACACCAAATAGTTTTAAAAAAGGTCTTCCCTAAGGCATTTATTGGTACAGCAAAGAGCAAAAAGTACTGCTCTGGTGAAAAGAACCATTGAACTAGTTCCTGTAGCATCTTTTTATTTATTGTTATTTATTTAACCTTTATTTAAGTTCCTTGAGATTGAAATCTCTTTTCCTAGGGAGACCTGGCTAGGACGGCACACCTGTTACAATTTAAATAGAAATAAAACATTGTCAAAACAAACAAACAAGTATCACACATAAAGGAAAGGGACTAAGCCAGGTCACATGTGGCAGTTACATTTCTCAGTAACATGGCATTGTAACATAGCTTTAAATTTATTAAATGGGACTAGATCATTTAGATGTAGCAAGTTTTGCAAGTCATTCCAACAGCAGGGAGCAAAGTAAGAGAATGCTTTTTTCCCCAGCTTAGTAAAACCCCTTAGAACCTCGTAAGCAAGCCATGTGAAACGGAGCTCAGGCTCAGGAGCTAAGCTATATGCTACTCTGCGTAAGCAGAGGTAGCTTCTACACCCCCGGTGCTGTATGGTGGAGGTTGGAACCTGTGGCCATGTTATTACCAGTTTATAATCATTACCAGCTTACAGTCAAGACACCAGAAAATATTAAAATAACTCACATATCTGTTATTGACATTATACTTATACATTAGACATTATATTTTAAATGCTTTTTAATATATAAATGGTAACATTATTTTGCAGATTATTGTCTGGAATAGGACACTTGCGAGAGAAAGGTACTTTTTATATTTGTCTCAAGATTTTATTGATCGGTTCTAGTAGAGGATATGAATCTCCTGGTGTGTGTTAGCAAATAAAAATAGGCCAACTATATTAAAAATGTAAATAAATAAATAATCATAATCTCTCACTCTCTCTCTCTCCCCCTTTCCACAGGTCGCTGTCCCTTCAGACAGTACATGCCCAGCAAGCCGGCCAAGTATGGTATCAAGTCCTGGGTTGCCTAATCCAGCTACGCCTGGAAGATGCAAGTCTACACCGGGAAGCCACTCCCTGCGGCGGCAGGATGACCCGCTCCCACCTCCGAAAGGAACCATGCAGGGCGTGTGGGTTGTGCTTGACCTGACAAACCTGACTGGCTTCAACAACCTAGACAAGGTAATCGCCACGTACAGCTGCAGGAGGATGACCACCCGCTGGCCCCTGGTCGTATTCCACAACATCCTCGACATGTCCGCGTACAACGCCTTCATGGAATGGGGAGAGATCAACCCCAGGTGGCTGCTTTGCAAGCGCAACAAGTGGCGGGTATTCCTCGAGCAAGGCGCTCGTCAACCCGCTCGTCAAGAGAAGGCGGTGTCTCCCTTGAGCCGAAGCCTCCGGGGTGCTGGTCAGATCCCTCCCCTACTGTCCCACCTGTGCTGACGAGGCGGATTGTGGGACACTTTGACACGGAGGAGGATGCGGCGTGTCTACACAAAGACGGGGCAGCAGGAGAGTTAATTCATTTTGGATTTTGAGGTGCTTCTCTGCCTTCACCATCTTGCAAAGATGTTCTAAACTGTTCAAATAAGTTAGTAGAAACTGGGTTTTTGGATGCTCTATTGATGAAAAGAAAAAGCTGTAGCTATGTAGCTGTACCCAGCTAAGTTACAAGGACCATTTCACAGGCCAGACGTTGTTTCACTGTTTTACTATTAAGAATGTGATGAAAGTTATACATCACAACATGTGCTTTATTTTACGCTAAAGGTAAAATGGTAACAACTTAAGTTTAAACAAAACTAATGTATGTATTAAAGTCAGTAAGATGGTGAAAATGTTGATCACTTTTTATTAAATTAGAGCTACATTTATATTGTTGTATTGTTGTATAAATAATATAAACAAGTAATTTCTGTGTTGCTTTTATTTTTAGTTGTACTAAACACAACACCATGTACTTACACCTGGATTTACTTGCTATAAGCTCCTCCAGAAGCCTCCTAGCTCCTCATCTCCTCAATGTGCATTTAAGGAATTAGTAGATCCTCCATGATTGCGGGGTGGCAGAGGATGCATAAGTTAGCATAATGAAAAGCACACCATGTATGAGAATGTTTGTATTACTTGACCATAAGATACAAAGAGTGAATTATTTGGTCATTATTTGGTAACAAATAAACTTGTTTTTAGTCTAGCTGCACTAATTTTGAGATATCTGTGGGTTCTTTGAAACTAGATATTGTCTTAAAAAACTTGGCTATAATGTTCTGTCGCTGTTTTAAGTCATAATTTCCCCCATTTGATTGTTTTTATGAGCTCAATTTTTGCAGTGAAGGGATTTCCCATCTCCCACAGAAAACACAACTTGTTTGTAGTCCAGCCTTCTCCTTTTGTTCTCTGTGACGTCACAGGGGAACACGCGTCATAATGCTCGCCTAGCGCCTGGTCTGATAAGCCCTCAAAAACACCAGTGGAAAAACACACTGAGCTGCAGCACTCAGTGACAAGACGTCCATTTGCTGCCTCTCCTCTCCCTTCCAAACATTAGCTACCCTCCAGGAACTGCGCATGTGCTAAGATGCATCACTCCATGGCGTTCAACACATAGGGTGAAAAGAGGAGCTGCAGCAAAAATATGGTGTTTTTTGAAAATTAAACCATGTAAACCTGTTCTGGTACAACCCCTAAATAAGATTTTGAACCTGAAAATGAGCATAATATGAACTCTTTAATTTGCTGTTTAGGGCTCCCTGGTCAAGTTAGCAATAATAAATAAGTAACATCTGGTTATACTTTAAAAATAAAAGTACTTGTTAATGTTGTGAACGCAATTTTGAAACCCCAACCACCTCCTTGCTCAGACTATTCTGTTAAATATGCAAAACCTACCTTTAGTGTTTAAAGGTGATGCTCCTGGGCTTCCCCAAGTGCATTGAACGATGATGCTATAGGAAACCCCAGTGTGTTACAAACTGACCCAACGGTCTTGATCAGATGTCAAGGTTAGGAAATAGCATGTTCCATTTTAGGGGTGTCTGAAATCATATTCAAGATTCTTGAATATAAGGCATGAATATAGGAAATATATTGTAATACAATTATAGGTAATTCAAACTATGCGCGAATTTGCGCATTCATGTCAATAATGGTGTGTTCTGGCAACACAGCGTTAATTAGATTAGTAAGTGTAATATTATTACAGTTTTGGAAATACTAATCCCTTACACTACTAGTTACAGGAAAAAGTAATAATAATTATTTACTGAGTAATGTGTTACTGCCCAATACTGCTCATGTGAGCCTTGGATAAGTTATGAAAGGGTTTGAAATTTCGGTAAAGATGTTTATTTACAACAAGCAAATAGGCTAAAAAAGGAAACATTGTCACAGTATAATGAAACAGTAAGTATGGCTAAGATCTCAAAATACATAGTAATGGATTAGGTTAGGCATGAGGTTTTGCTCGTGATGTCTTATATTTCACACATACATTCAATTCCTTTCCATGAGTGCAGTTTGAGCAGCTTGTTTGCACAATATGTTGTACTTTTTGACACCTGATAAACAAAAACCAAATATTTTTTTTCAAACTGGTGTTTTATTCATTGATTATTAACATATTAATTTAGTAATATAGATTTGTAAGGGAACACTTAATCATCATTGTATAACATCACCATCCATGCATCCATCCATCATCAATCGCTTATCCTGCATACAGGGTTGCGGGGGGCCGGAGCCAATCCCAGCTTACATCGTTTAAAAGGCGGGGTACACCCTGGACAGGTCGCCAGTCCATCGCAGTAGTATAACATCAAATCAATTAAATTTCAGGGATATCAATCTGTTAGGAAGCGTAAGTGATTTTGAATCAATGTTGCCTATTTTGGTGCAAATGAAATTGACAACAGATACACTGGAGAAACAACAGCAAAACAACAGGACAATGGGGGAACTTGTTATGGTAGGTGGAGTGGTTGTGGTAAGAGAAGTTGTTGTGGTAGGTGGAGTTGTGGTCTGGGAAGTTGTAGATGTTGAAAGGGGAGCTGTTATAGGGAGAGATGAGAGATGTTGTGGTAAGTGAAGTTGTTGTGGTAGGTGGAGTTGTTGTAGGGAGAGTTGTTGTGGTAGGTGGAATACTTGTGGTTGTGGTAGGGGGGATGTTGTAGTTGTAGGGAGAGTTGTGGTTGTTGTAGGGGGAGTTGTTGTATGAGGTCTTAGGGTTGTCGTAGTAGTGGGAATTGTTGTGGTTGTTGTTAGGGGAGTAGTGGTAGTGCTAGGTATTGTTGTGGTTGGAGCTAAATTAATTAATTAATTCAAACCTTTATTTAACCAGGATAAAAAAACTCCTTGAGATTAAAAATCTCTTTTACGAGAGTGTCCTGGCAAGTGGCAGCAGCACGGTTACAAATAGATACAGAGACACTTACAGGTAAATACATAGACACACTTTCACTCATCATATTCAAACAACGTCATCATAAAAAAACCTGGGTCCTAAATCAATTTAAAAACAGTGACAGACAGACTGTCCTTTTAAAAACCTTTAAAAGAATAAAGTGAGACCAACTCCTTCAACTGTAGTTGATTCCATGCAGATGGTGCTGCATAATTAAAAGCCTTTTTGCCAAAGTCAGTGCGGGCTTTAGGGACAGTCAATAAAAACTGATCCGGTCCCTGCAGGCCTCGGGAGGATGTAAGTGTTCAAATAAGGAGGAAGAAGTCCTAATACTGCCTTATAAATAAAAATATGCCAGTGCATCCAACGCTGAATTAAGAAGGAGAACCACCCGACCAGAGAATACAGCAAACAGTGATGAGTGAGAGATTTTAAGTTTGTGATGAATCTCAAGGCTCCATGAAACACAGTCTCCAAAGCATGAAGACACTGGGAGGTTGAATACATGTATAAAATATCACCATAGTCCAAGACAGACAAGAATTTTTTTTGCTTCAAAAGATAAACAGGACTTGATTCTAAAAAAAAAAAAAAAAACCTAACTTCAATTTCAGTTTTTTAACCAAATCTTGGACATGCAATGTAAAAGACAGTGATTGGTCAATGGTAATGCCCAAGTATTTGTAATGTGACACTTATTTGATTTCTATACCAGAAAGAATACAAATGGTTGGGACATTGTTTTTAGTTGATTTTAAAGTAGTCAGATTATGTTGTGATTGCTTGACCTAATGTGGACTCAGAACAATAGAGAACAGTGTCATCAGCATAGTAATGATAGTTTGTATTTTTTATGTTATTGCAGAGGTTGTTTGTATAAGTGATAAAAAGAAGAAGCCCAAGGATTGAGCCGTGAGGCACCCCTTTTGAAATATTCAGGGAGGGGGCCGTCTACTTGCACACATTGTGTTCTCCCTGATGGGTAACTGCTCAACCATCCCACTGCTTGTTCTGATAGTCAAATGGAGGTGAGTCTTTGAAGAAGTATTTTATGGTCCACTGTGGCAAAAGCTTTTGACAAATCAATAAACATAGCTGCATAGCGCTGTATATTGTCTAAGATTTTGACCAGGCCATTAACAACTTTTGAAACAGCTGTTATTGTACTATGTTGTTTCCTGAAATTGGATTGAGATTCATTCAGAATATTGTTATTAATTAGTCTTTTAATTGCATGCTGATGAGTGATTCCATTAATTTAGCTAATACTGACAATTTAGAAATAGGCCTATAGTTATTTATGTTTGCAGGATCACCACCTTTGTGAAGGGGGAGAACATTGGCAGATTTCCAGATGACTGGTACTTGATTCATGGCTAAAGAAAAGTTAATTAAATATGTAACTGGATCAGCTATCAAATCTGCAGCTATTTTTAGAAAATATGATTCCAATTTGTCTGAACCGGATGATTTGTTTGGATCTACATCTTTCAAGACCTTCCTTACTTCTGGTACGGTTAGTGTCTTGAAATGAAATGGTTGAGCTGACAATGACTGATCAATAGGACATACAGTGGGAGAGCTGGAAATTGGATTATGTAGTGTTTCATAAAGGGAGCTAGCAGCAATGAAGTGATTATTAAAACTATTGAGAATTTTGTCAATGATTTTTTTGTCATCAACAACAATACAAGATGGTACTTCTGTATCTGTTTTTGCTTCAGTTAATAATTTGATTGTTTTCCAGAACTTGAGAAAAAAAAAATGTCTTAAATTTTTGGATGTTTCAGAAAGGAAATAGGCAGATTTGGCATTACGGATTTTTACAGTGCTTAAATTACGTAAACGCCGAAATTTCAACCAGTCAGACTCGAGCTTTGATCTTCTAGCTTAAGCTCAGGCTTGATTTCGCTCAAAAAAAACTCCCTCAGAGAAGAAAGAGTGCTACTGTCAGCTGAGGGGGGTCTATAACAACCAACTGTGATGTGAAGACAATTCAAATTGTCTGCTTATTGACTTTGAGACAATTAAATTCACAAGAAATTAATTTTTCACATATATTGCAACACCTCCACCCTTTTTAGGTCAGTCTGTTCTGCATAAGTTGTACCCACCTACAGTCACATCCTTATCAGAAATAGATTTGCTGAGCCAAGTTTCACTTAAACCAAAAACATCCGCATTGGTTCAAAGTGCCCAGATACGAACCATATCTATTTTTCCAACCAGACTACGAACATTCAAATGACAAAAACCCAGACATATTTGACAGATTTGGGTGGACATTCCCAGAAATTAATAGCAGCAATATTATATTATATATATAATAATATTATATTAAGTTGCACTTCTGATGTGCCAGAGGTGAAGAGCAAAGGCTGGGGTTGAATGACCACAGCCAGCTGATGGCTTGTTTCGCTCCTCCCCCGGAGTAAACATCCGGAAATGAGAGCAACATGTTTCCATGGCAATGACGGGAGATTCCACTAGAGGCACACAGCGCTATCAAGTACAGCACAGCAACTTTACTTCATTTTAATCCAAGGATTTTAATCAATGTCCATTAAAAACTAAGGATCCTCTTTTTCGAGTAGATTGACTGCACCACCAGCTCCGCCCCCTCCGCAGCATTCTGTGAAGCTGAATAAAATAATTACCGCGGATAAACAATGCGTTCCAAAGTTGCATCCAACCCAGAGAAGGTGAAACCACAATGCTTATTTCAGGATGGTACTATCCCTGGACCAACCAAGACCACAACTGGAGTCAGATTTCCATTCTTCCACCGCAAAGCTGTCCGTCTTCACAGTAGTACAAAGATAGATGTAAGTTTATATCAAAGTTGTTTGGCTCTGCGCCAATCCAGGAAAGGGATCACATAATGCAGATAAAGTGAGTAGAAAAGTAAATCCAGGTATGCACACAGCAACGGCATTCAAAATAATATTTATTAAATGCACTGCATGCTTGCATTTTTTTGGAATTGTGGTAGGAGGAGGTATAGCAGTTGGAGTTGTAGGGGGGATTGTGGTGGTAGGGGGAATTGTGGTAGGAGGAGGTGTAGCAGCTGGAGTTGTAGGGGGAGTTGTGGTGGTAGGTGGAGGGGACTTTTTTTAGGGTGAGTTGTAGTTCTAGGGGAATTCTGGTTCTGGTAGGTGGATTTCTTGTTTATGGGGAATACTTGCTGTAGGCAGACTTCTTGTATGGGGAGTTCTTGTATGGGGAGTTCTTCTAGGTTCAGTTGTTTTAGTATTTGGAGTTGTTGTAGGTAGAGTTGTGGTGTGTGGAGCTGTTGTAGTTGTAGGTGTTGTCGGTGGAGTTGTAGTTGTAGGAGGAGTTGTTGTAGGGAGAATTGTTGTTGTAGGGGGAGTTGTTGTGGTAGGGAGACTTGTTGTGGTAGGTGGAGTTGTTGTAGGGGTAGTCGTTGTGGTTGGGTGAGTTGTTGAAGGGAAAGTTGTTGTTGTAGGGGGAGTTGTTGTGGTGGGTGGATTGGTTGTTGAAGGTGGAGTGGTTGTTGAAGGGGGAGTTGTTGGAGGGAGATTTGTTGTTGTAGAGGGAGTTGTAGTTGTAAGGGGAGTTGATGTAGGTAGAGTTATTGTTGTAGAGGGAGTTGTTGTAGGCAGAGTTGTCGTAGGGGGAGTTCTCGTAGGTGAAGTTATTTCAGGGAGAGTTGTTGTGGTAGGTGGAGTTGTTGGAGGAAGAGTTGTGGTAGGGGAAGTTTTTGTAGGGAGAGGTGTTGTGGTAGGTGGAGTTGTTGTAGGGGGAGTTGTTGTAAGTGAAGTTATTTCAGGGAGAGTTGTTGATGAAGGGGGAATTGTGGTAGGGAGAGTTGTTGTAGGTAGATTTGTTGTAGGCAGAGTTGTTGCAGAGGGAGTTGTCGTAGGTGAAGTTATTTTAGGGAGAGTTGTTGTGGTAGGTGGAGTTGTTGGAGGAAGAGTTGTGGTAAGGGAAGTTGTTGTAGGGAGATTTGTTGTTGTAGAGGGAGTTGTAGGGAGATTTGTTGTTGTAGGGTGAGGTTTTGGGGTAGGTGGAGTTGTTGGAGGAAGAGTTGTTGAAGGGGGAGTTGTTGGAGGGAGATTTGTTGTTGTAGAGGGAGTTGTAGGGAGAGGTGTTGTGGTAGGTGGAGTTGTTGTAGGGGGAGTTGTTGTAGGTGAAGTTATTTCAGGGAGAGTTGTTGATGAAGGGGGAGTTGTGGTAGGGAGAGTTGTTGAAGGGGGAGTTGTTGGAGAGAGATTTGTTGTTGTAGAGGGAGTTGTAGTAGTAAGGGGGGTTGATGTAGGTAGAGTTATTGTTATAGAGGGAGTTGTTGTAGGCAGAGTTGTCGTAGGTGAAGTTATTTCAGGTAGAGTTGTTGTGGTAGGTGGAGTTGTTGTAGGGAGATTTGTTGTTGTAGAGGGAGTTGTAGGGAGATTTGTTGTAGGGAGAGGTGTTGTGGTAGGTGGAGTTGTTGTAGGGGGAGTTGTTGTAGGTGAAGTTATTTCAGGGAGAGTTGTTGATGAAGGGGGAATTGTGGTAGGGAGAGTTGTTGTAGAGAGAGGTGTCGTAGGTGAAGTTATTTCAGGGAGAGTTGTTGATGAAGGGGGAGTTGTGGTAGGGAGAGTTGTTGTTGTAGGGGGAGTTGTTGTGGTGGGTGGATTGGTTGTTGAAGGTGGAGTGGTTGTTGAAGGTGGAGTTGTTGGAGGGAGATTTGTTGTTGTAGAGGGAGTTGTAGTTGTAAGGGGAGTTGATGTAGGTAGAGTTATTGTTGTAGAGGGACTTGTTGTAGGCAGAGTTGTCGTAGGTGAAGTTATTTCAGGGAGAGTTGATGTGATAGGTGGAGTTGTTGTAGAGGGAGCTGTTGTAGGAAGAGTTGTTGTAGGTGAAGTTATTTCAGGGAGAGTTTTTGTGGTAGGTGGAGTTGTTGGAGGAAGGCTTGTGGTAGGGGAAGTTGTGTCAGGTGGATTTGTGGCTGCAGGGGCAGATGCTGTTTTAGGGAGAAATTTCATAGAGGGACTTGTAGAGGGAATTTTTGTAGGTGCATCTGTTGTAGTTATTGTAGGGAGAGTTGTTGTGGTAGGTGGAGTTGTTGGAGGAAGAGTTGTGGTAGGGGAAGTTGTTGTAGGGAGATTTGTTGTTGTAGAGGGAGTTGTAGGGAGATTTGTTGTTGGTGGGAGAGTTGTTGTGGCAGGTGGATTTGTTGTAGGGGGAGTTTTTGTAGGTGAAGTTATTTCAGGGAGGGTTGTTGATGAAGGGGGAGTTGTGGTAGGGAGAGTTATTGTTGTAGGGGGAGTTGTAGGGAGAGTTGTTGTTGTAGGGGGAGTTGTAGTTGTAAGGGGAGTTGATGTAGGTAGAGTTATTGTTGTAGAGGGAGTTGTTGTAGGCAGCGTTGTCGTAGGGGGAGATGTCGTAGGTGAAGTTATTTCAAGGAGAGTTGTTGATGATGGGGGAGTTGTTGTAGGGGGAGTTGTTGTGGTGGGTGGATTGGTTGTTGAAGGTGGAGTTGTTGGAGGGAGATTTGTTGTTGTAGAGGGAGTTGTAGTTGTAAGGGGAGTTGATGTAGGTAGAGTTATTGTTGTAGAGGGACTTGTTGTAGGCAGAGTTGTCGTAGGTGAAGTTATTTCAGGGAGAGTTGATGTGATAGGTGGAGTTGTCGTAGGGGGGGTTGTCGTAGGTGAAGTTATTTTAGGGAGAGTTGTTGTGGTAGGTGGAGTTGTTGGAGAAAGGCTTGTGGTAGGGGAAGTTGTGTCAGGTGGATTTGTGGCTGTAGGGGCAGATGCTGTTTTAGGGAGAGATTTTGTAGAGGGATTTGTAGAGGGAATTTCTGTAGGTGCATCTGTTTTAGTTATTGTAGGGAGAGTTGTTGTGGTAGGGGGAACTGTTGTTGTAGAGGGAGTTGTTGTAGGCAGAGTTGTCGTAGGGGGAGTTGTCGCAGGGGAAGTTATTTCAGGGAGAGTTGTTGTGGTAGGTGGAGTTGTTGGAGGAAGAGTTGTGGTAGGGGAAGTTGTTGTAGGGAGATTTGTTGTTGTAGAGGGAGTTGTAGGGAGATTTGTTGTTGTAGGGAGAGGTGTTGTGGTAGGTGGAGTTGTTGTTGGGGGAGTTGATGTAGTTGAAGTTATTTCAGGGAGAGTTGTTGATGAAGGGGGAGTTGTTATAGGAGGATTTGTTGTAGGGAGAGGTGTTGTGTTAGGTGGAGTTGTAGTTGTAGGGGGAGTTGTTGTAGGTGAAGTTATTTCAGGGAGAGTTGTTGATGAAGGGGGAGTTGTTATAGGAGGATTTGTTGTAGGGAAAGGTGTTGTCGTAGGTGAAGTTATTTCAGGGAGAGTTGTTGTGGTAGGTGGAGTTGTTGTAGGAAGAGTTGTTTTTGTAGAGGGAGTTGTTGTAGGGGGAGTTGTTGTAGGGAGAATTGTCGTAGGTGAAGTTATTTCAGGGAGAGTTGTTGTGGTAGGTGGAGTTGTTGGAGGAAGAGTTGTGGTAGGGGAAGTTGTGGTAGGGAGACTTGTTGTTGTAGAGGGAGTTGTAGGGGGAGTTGTGGTAGGTTGAGTCGTTGTAAGGGGAGTTGTGGTAGATGCAGTTGTTGTAGAGGGAGTTGTAGTTGTAAGGGGAGTTGAAGTAGGGAGAGTTGTTATTGTTGGGGGATTTGTTGTAGGTGATGTTATTTCAGGGAGAGTTGTTGTATTAGGGAGAGTTGTTGTAGGGAGATTTGTTGTAGGGAGAGTTGTTGTGGTATGTGGAGTTGTTGTAGGTGAAGTTATTTCAGGGAGAGTTGTTGATGAAGTGGGAGTTGTAGTAGGGAGAGTTGTTGTAAGGGGAGTTGATATAGGTAGAGTTATTATTGTAGAGGGAGTTGTAGGCAGAGTTGTCGTAGGGGGAGTTGTCGTAGGTGAAGTTATTTCAGGGAGAGTTGTTGTGGTAGGTGGAGTTGTTGGAGGAAGAGTTGTGGTAGGGGAAGTTGTTGTAGGGAGAAATGTTGTTGGAGAGGGAGGTGTTGTTGGGGGAGTTGTGGTAGGTTGAGTAGTTGTAAGGGGAGTTGAAGTAGGGAGAGTTGTTATTGTAGGGGGATTTGTTGTAGGTAATGTTATTTCAGGGAAAGTTGTTGTGGTAGGTGGATTTGTTGATGAAGAGGGAGTTGTTGTCGTAGCAGGATTTGTAGGTGTAGGGGAAGTTGTTGTATTAGGGAGAGTTGTAATAGGGGGAGTTGTTGTAGGGAGAGGTGTTGTGGTAGGGGGAGTTGTTGTAGGTGAAGTTATTTCAGGGAGAGTTGTTGATGAAGGGAGAGTTGTGGTAGGGATAGTTGTTGTAAGGGGAGTTGATGTAGGTAGAGTTATTGTTGTAGAGGGAGTTGTAGGCAGAGTTGTCGTAGGGGGAGTCGTCGTGGGTGAAGTTATTTCAGGAAGAGTGGTTGTGGTAGGTGGAGTTGTTGGAGTAAGAGTTGTGGTAGGGGAAGTTGTTGTAGGGAGATTTGTTGTTGTAGGGAGATTTGTTGTTGTAGAGGGAGTTGTAGGGAGATTTGTTGTTGTAGGGAGAGGTGTTGTGGTAGGTGGACTTGTTGTAGGGGGAGTTGTTGTAGGTGAAGTTATTTCAGGGAAAGTTGTTGATGAAGGGGGAGTTGTGGTAGGGAGAGTTGTTGTAGGGGGAGTTGATGTAGGTAGAGTTATTGTTGTAGAGGGAGTTGTAGGCAGAGTTGTCGTAGGGGGAGTTGTCGTAGGTGAAGTTATTTCAGGGAGAGTTGTTGTGGTAGGTTGAGTTGTTGGAGGAAGAGTTGTGGTAGGGGAAGTTGTTGTAGGGAGATTTGTTGTTGTAGGGGTAGTTGTTGTAGGTGAAGTTATTTCAGGGAGAGTTGTTGATGAAAGGGGAGTTGTAGTAGGGAGAGTTGTTGTAGGGGGAGTTGTTGTAGGGAGAGTTGTTGTTGTAGGGGGAGGTGTTGTGGTGGGTGGATTGGTTGTTGAAGTTGGAGTGGTTGTTGAAGGGGGAGTTGTTGGAGGGAGATTTGTTGTAGAGGGAGTTGTTGTAGGGAGAGTTGTTGTTGTAGGTGGAGTTGTTGTAGGGGGAGTTGTCATAGGTGAAGTTATTTCAGGGAGAGTTGTTGTGATAGGTGGAGTTGTTGGAGGAAGAGTTGTGGTAGGGGAAGTTGTTGTAGGGAGATTTGTTGTTGTAGAGGGAGTTGTAGGGAGATTTGTTGTTGTAGGGAGAGGTGTTGTGGTAGGTGGAGTTGTTGTAGGGGGAGTTGTTGTAGGTGAAGTTATTTCAGGGAGAGTTGTTGATGAAGGGGGAGTTGTGGTAGGGAGAGTTGTTGAAGGGGGAGTTGTTGGAGAGAGATTTGTTGTTGTAGAGGGAGTTGTAGTAGTAAGGGGGGTTGATGTAGGTAGAGTTATTGTTATAGAGGGAGTTGTTGTAGGCAGAGTTGTCGTAGGTGAAGTTATTTCAGGGAGAGTTGTTGTGGTAGGTGGAGTTGTTGTAGGGAGATTTGTTGTTGTAGAGGGAGTTGTAGGGAGATTTGTTGTAGGGAGAGGTGTTGTGGTAGGTGGAGTTGTTGTAGGGGGAGTTGTTGTAGGTGAAGTTATTTCAGGGAGAGTTGTTGATGAAGGGGGAATTGTGGTAGGGAGAGTTGTTGTAGAGAGAGGTGTCGTAGGTGAAGTTATTTCAGGGAGAGTTGTTGATGAAGGGGGAGTTGTGGTAGGGAGAGTTATTGTTGTAGGGGGAGTTGTAGGGAGAGTTGTTGTTGTAGGGGGAGTTGTTGTGGTGGGTGGATTGGTTGTTGAAGGTGGAGTGGTTGTTGAAGGTGGAGTTGTTGGAGGGAGATTTGTTGTTTTAGAGGGAGTTGTAGTTGTAAGGGGAGTTGATGTAGGTAGAGTTATTGTTGTAGAGGGACTTGTTGTAGGCAGAGTTGTCGTAGGTGAAGTTATTTCAGGGAGAGTTGATGTGATAGGTGGAGTTGTTGTAGAGGGAGCTGTTGTAGGAAGAGTTGTCGTAGGTGAAGTTATTTCAGGGAGAGTCTTTGTGGTAGGTGGAGTTGTTGGAGGAAGGCTTGTGGTAGGGGAAGTTGTGTCAGGTGGATTTGTGGCTGTAGGGGCAGATGCTGTTTTAGGGAGACATTCCGTAGAGGGACTTGTAGAGGGAATTTTTGTAGGTGCATCTGTTGTAGTTATTGTAGGGAGAGTTGTTGTGGTAGGTGGAGTTGTTGGAGGAAGAGTTGTGGTAGGGGAAGTTGTTGTAGGGAGATTTGTTGTTGTAGAGGGAGTTGTAGGGAGATTTGTTGTTGGTGGGAGAGTTGTTGTGGCAGGTGGATTTGTTGTAGGGGGAGTTGTTGTAGGTGAAGTTATTTCAGGGAGGGTTGTTGATGAAGGGGGAGTTGTGGTAGGGAGAGTTATTGTTGTAGGGGGAGTTGTAGGGAGAGTTGTTGTTGTAGGGGGAGTTGTAGTTGTAAGGGGAGTTGATGTAGGTAGAGTTATTGTTGTAGAGGGAGTTGTTGTAGGCAGAGTTGTCGTAGGTGAAGTTATTTCAGGGAGAGTTGATGTGATAGGTGGAGTTGTCGTAGGGGGGGTTGTCGTAGGTGAAGTTATTTTAGGGAGAGTTGTTGTGGTAGGTGGAGTTGTTGGAGAAAGGCTTGTGGTAGGGGAAGTTGTGTCAGGTGGATTTGTGACTGTAGGGGCAGATGCTGTTTTAGGGAGAGATTTTGTAGAGGGATTTGTAGAGGAATTTCTGTAGGTGCATCTGTTTTAGTTATTGTAGGGAGAGTTGTTGTGGTAGGGGGAACTGTGTTGTAGAGGGAGTTTGTAGGCAGAGTTGTCGTAGGGGGAGTTGTCGCAGGTGAAGTTATTTCAGGGAGAGTTGTTGTGGTAGGTGGAGTTGTTGGAGGAAGAGTGTGGTAGGGAAGTTGTTGTAGGGAGATTTGTTGTTGTAGAGGGAGTTGTAGGGAGATTTGTTGTTGTAGGGAGAGGTGTTGTGGTAGGTGGAGTTGTTGTTGGGGGAGTGATGTAGTTGAAGTTATTTCAGGGAGAGTTGTTGATGAAGGGGGAGTTGTTATAGGAGGATTTGTTGTAGGGAGAGGTGTTGTGTTAGGTGGAGTTGTAGTTGTAGGGGGAGTTGTTGTAGGTGAAGTTATTTCAGGGAGAGTTGTTGATGAAGGGGGAGTTGTTATAGGAGGATTTGTTGTAGGGAAAGGTGTTGTCGTAGGTGAAGTTATTTCAGGGAGAGTTTTTGTGGTAGGTGGAGTTGTTGTAGGAAGAGTTGTTTTTGTAGAGGGAGTTGTTGTAGGGGGAGTTGTTGTAGGGAGAATTGTCGTAGGTGAAGTTATTTCAGGGAGAGTTGTTGTGGTAGGTGGAGTTGTTGTAGGAAGAGTTGTTTTTGTAGAGGGAGTTGTTGTAGGGGGAGTTGTTGTTGTAGAGGGAGTTGTAGGGGGAGTTGTGGTAGGTTGAGTCGTTGTAAGGGGAGTTGTGGTAGATGCAGTTGTTGTAGAGGGAGTTGTAGTTGTAAGGGGAGTTGAAGTAGGGAGAGTTGTTATTGTTGGGGGATTTGTTGTAGGTGATGTTATTTCAGGGAGAGTTGTTGTATTAGGGAGAGTTGTTGTAGGGAGATTTGTTGTAGGGAGAGTTGTTGTGGTATGTGGAGTTTGTAGGTGAAGTTATTTCAGGGAGAGTTGTTGATGAAGTGGGAGTTGTAGTAGGGAGAGTTGTTGTAAGGGGAGTTGATATAGGTAGAGTTATTATTGTAGAGGGAGTTGTAGGCAGAGTTGTCGTAGGGGAGTTGTCGTAGGTGAAGTTATTTCAGGGAGAGTTGTTGTGGTAGGTGGAGTTGTTGGAGGAAGAGTTGTGGTAGGGGAAGTTGTTGTAGGGAGAAATGTTGTTGGAGAGGGAGGTGTTGTTGGGGGAGTTGTGGTAGGTTGAGTAGTGTAAGGGGAGTTGAAGTAGGGAGAGTTGTTATTGTAGGGGGATTTGTTGTAGGTAATGTTATTCAGGGAAAGTTGTTGTGGTAGGTGGATTTGTTGATGAGAGGGAGTTGTTGTCGTAGCAGGATTTGTAGGTGTAGGGGAAGTTGTTTGTATTAGGGAGAGTTGTAATAGGGGGAGTGTTGTAGGGAGAGTGTGTTGTAGGGGAGTTGTTGTAGGTGAAGTTATTTCAGGGAGAGTTGTTGATGAAGGGAGAGTTGTGGTAGGGATAGTTGTTGTAAGGGGAGTTGATGTAGGTAGAGTTATTGTTGTAGAGGGAGTTGTAGGCAGAGTTGTCGTAGGGGGAGTCGTCGTAGGTGAAGTTATTTCAGGAAGAGTGGTTGTGGTAGGTGGAGTTGTTGGAGTAAGAGTTGTGGTAGGGGAAGTTGTTGTAGGGAGATTTGTTGTTGTAGAGGGAGTTGTAGGGAGATTTGTTGTTGTAGGGAGAGGTGTTGTGGTAGGTGGACTTGTTGTAGGGGGAGTTGTTGTAGGTGAAGTTATTTCAGGGAGAGTTGTTGATGAAGGGGGAGTTGTGGTAGGGAGAGTTGTTGTAGGGGGAGTTGATGTAGGTAGAGTTATTGTTGTAGAGGGAGTTGTAGGCAGAGTTGTCGTAGGGGGAGTTGTCGTAGGTGAAGTTTTTAGGGAGAGTTGTTGTGGTAGGTTGAGTTGTTGGAGGAAGAGTTGTGGTAGGGGAAGTTGTTGTAGGGAGATTTGTTGTTGTAGGGGGAGTTTGTAGGTGAAGTTATTTCAGGGAGAGTTGTTGATGAAAGGGGAGTTGTAGTAGGGAGAGTTGTTGTAGGGGGAGTTGTTGTAGGGAGAGTTGTTGTTGTAGGGGGAGGTGTTGTGGTGGGTGGATTGGTTGTTGAAGTTGGAGTGGTTGTTGAAGGGGGAGTTGTTGGAGGGAGATTTGTTGTAGGGGGAGTTGTTGTAGGGAGAGTTGTTGTTGTAGGGGGATTTGTTGTAGGTAATGTTATTTCAGGGAAAGTTGTTGTGGTAGGTGGATTTGTTGATGAAGAGGGAGTTGTTGTCGTAGCAGGATTTGTAGGTGTAGGGGAAGTTGTTGTATTAGGGAGAGTTGTAATAGGGGGAGTTGTTGTAGGGAGAGGTGTTGTGGTAGGGGGAGTTGTTGTAGGTGAAGTTATTTCAGGGAGAGTTGTTGATGAAGGGAGAGTTGGGTAGGGATAGTTGTTGTAAGGGGAGTTGATGTAGGTAGAGTTATTGTTGTAGAGGGAGTTGTAGGCAGAGTTGTCGTAGGGGAGTCGTCGTAGGTGAAGTTTTTCAGGAAGAGTTGTTGTGGTAGGTGGAGTTGTTGGAGTAAGAGTTGTGGTAGGGGAAGTTGTTGTAGGGAGATTTGTTGTAGAGGGAGTTGTAGGGAGATTTGTTGTTGTAGGGAGAGGTGTTGTGGTAGGTGGACTTGTTGTAGGGGGAGTTGTTGTAGTGAAGTTATTTAGGGAGAGTTGTTGATGAAGGGGGAGTTGTGGTAGGGAGAGTTGTTGAAGGGGGAGTTGATGTAGGTAGAGTTTTGTTTAGAGGGAGTTGTAGGCAGAGTTGTCGTAGGGGGAGTTGTCGTAGGTGAAGTTTTTTAGGGAGAGTTGTGGTGGTAGGTGAGTTGTTGGAGGAAGAGTTGTGGTAGGGGAAGTTTTGTAGGGAGATTTGTTGTTGTAGGGGGAGTTGTTGTAGGTGAAGTTATTTCAGGGAGAGTTGTTGATGAAAGGGGAGTTGTAGTAGGGAGAGTTGTTGTAGGGGGAGTTGTTGTAGGGAGAGTTGTTGTTGTAGGGGGAGGTGTTGTGGTGGGTGGATTGGTTGTTGAAGTTGGAGTGGTTGTTGAAGGGGGAGTTGTTGGAGGGAGATTGTTGTAGGGGGAGTTGTTGTAGGGAGAGTTGTTGTTGTAGGTGGAGTTGTTGTAGGGGGAGTTGTCATAGGTGAAGTTATTCAGGGAGAGTTGTTGTGGTAGGTGGAGTTGTTGGGGAGGAGTTGTGGTAGGGGAAGTTGTTGTAGGGAGATTTGTTGTTGTAGAGGGTTGTAGGGAGATTTGTTGTTGTAGGGAGAGGTGTTGGTAGGTGGAGTTGTAGGGGGAGTTGTTGTAGGTGAAGTTATTTCAGGGAGAGTTGTTGATGAAGGGGAAGTTGTGGTAGGGAGAGTTGTTGAAGGGGGAGTTGTGGAGAGAGATTGTTGTTGTAGAGGGAGTTGTAGTAGTAAGGGGGTGATGTAGGTAGAGTTATTGTTATAGAGGGAGTTGTTGTAGGCAGAGTTGTCGTAGGTGAAGTTATTTCAGGGAGAGTTGTTGGGTAGGTGGAGTTGTTGTAGGGAGATTTGTTGTTGTAGAGGGAGTTGTAGGGATTTGTTGTAGGGAGAGGTGTTGTGGTAGGTGGAGTTTTGTAGGGGGAGTTGTGGTAGGGGAGTTGTTGTAGGAGATTTGTTGTTGTAGAGGGAGTTGTAGGGAGATTTGTGTTGGTGGGAGAGTTGTTGTGGCAGGTGGATTTGTTGTAGGGGGGTTGTTGTAGGTGAAGTTATTTCAGGGAGGGTTGTTGATGAAGGGAGTTGTGGTAGGGATAGTTGTTGTAAGGGGAGTTGATGTAGGTAGAGTTATTGTTGTAGAGGGAGTTGTAGGCAGAGTTGTCGTAGGGGGAGTCATCGTAGGTGAAGTTATTTCAGGGAGAGTTGTTGTGGTAGGTGGAGTTGTTGGAGTAAGAGTTGTGGTAGGGGAAGTTGTTGTAGGGAGATTTGTTGTTGTAGGGAGATTTGTTGTTGTAGAGGGAGTTGTAGGGAGATTTGTTGTTGGTGGGAGAGTTGTTGTGGCAGGTGGATTTGTTGTAGGGGGAGTTGTTGTAGGTGAAGTTATTTCAGGGAGGGTTGTTGATGAAGGGAGAGTTGTGGTAGGGATAGTTGTTGTAAGGGGAGTTGATGTAGGTAGAGTTATTGTTGTAGAGGGAGTTGTAGGCAGAGTTGTCGTAGGGGGAGTCATCGTAGGTGAAGTTATTTCAGGGAGAGTTGTTGTGGTAGGTGGAGTTGTTGGAGTAAGAGTTGTGGTAGGGGAAGTTGTTGTAGGGAGATTTGTTGTTGTAGGGAGATTTGTTGTTGTAGAGGGAGTTGTAGGGAGATTTGTTGTTGTAGGGCGAGGTGTTGTGGTAGGTGGACTTGTTGTAGGGGGAGTTGTTGTAGGTGAAGTTATTTCAGGGAGAGTTGTTGATGAAGGGGGAGTTGTGGTAGGGAGAGTTGTTGTAGGGGGAGTTGATGTAGGTAGAGTTATTGTTGTAGAGGCAGTTGTAGGCAGAGTTGTCGTAGGGGGAGTTGTCGTAGGTGAAGTTATTTCAGGGAGAGTTGTTGTGGTAGGTTGAGTTGTTGGAGGAAGAGTTGTGGTAGGGGAAGTTGTTGTAGGGAGATTTGTTGTTGTAGGGGGAGTTGTTGTAGGTGAAGTTATTTCAGGGAGAGTTGTTGTAGGGGGAGTTGTTGTTGTAGGGGGAGTTGTTGTGGTGGGTGGATTGGTTGTTGAAGTTGGAGTGGTTGTTGAAGGGGGAGTTGTTGGAGGGAGATTTGTTGTAGGGGGAGTTGTTGTAGGGAGAGTTGTTGTTGTAGGTGGAGTTGTTGTAGGGGGAGTTGTCATAGGTGAAGTTATTTCAGGGAGAGTTGTTGTGGTAGGTGGAGTTGTTGGAGGAAGAGTTGTGGTAGGGGAAGTTGTTGTAGGGAGATTTGTTGTCGTAGGGAGAGGTGTTGTGGTAGGTGGAGTTGTTGTAGGGGGAGTTGTTGTTGGAGAGGGAGGTGTCGTTGGGGGAGTTGTGATAGGTTGAGTCGTTGTAAGGGGAGTTGTGGTAGATGCAGTTGTTGTAGAGGGAGTTGTAGTTGTAAGGGGAGTTGAAGTAGGGAGAGTTGTTATTGTAGGGGGATTTGTTGTAGGTGATGTTATTTCAGGGAGAGTTGTTGTGGTAGGTGGATTTGTTGATGAAGAGGGAGTTGTTGTCGTAGGAGGATTTGTAGGTGTAGGGGAAGTTGTTGTATGGAGAGTTGTTGTATTAGGGAGAGTTGTTGTAGGGGGAGTTGTTGTAGGGAGAGGTGTTGTGGTAGGTGGACTTGTTGTAGGGGGAGTTGTTGTAGGTGAAGTTATTTCAGGGAGAGTTGTTGATGAAAGGGTAGTTGTCGTAGGGGGAGTTGTCGTAGGTGAAGTTATTTCAGGGAGAGTTGTTGTAGGGGGAGTTGTTGTAGGGAGAGTTGTTGTTGTAGGGGGAGTTGTTGTGGTGGGTGGATTGGTTGTTGAAGTTGGAGTGGTTGTTGAAGGGGGAGTTGTTGGAGGGAGATTAGTTGTTGTAGAGGGAGTTGTAGTTGTAGGGGCAGCTGATGTAGGTAGAGTTATTGTTGTAGAGGGAGTTGTTGTAGGCAGAGTTGTCGTAGGTGAAGTTATTTGAGGGAGAATTGTTGTGGTAGGTGGAGTAGTTGGAGGAAGAGTTGTGGTAGGGGAAGTTGTGGTAGGGAGACTTGTTGTTGTAGAGGGAGTTGTTGTAGGGAGAGGTGTTGTGGTAGGTGGAGTTGTTGTTGGGGGAGTTGATGTAGTTGAAGTTATTTCAGGGAGAGTTGTTGATGAAGGGGGAGTTGTTATAGGAGGATTTGTTGTAGGGAGAGGTGTTGTGTTAGGTGGAGTTGTAGTTGTAGGGGGAGTTGTTGTAGGTGAAGTTATTTCAGGGAGAGTTGTTGATGAAGGGGGAGTTGTTATAGGAGGATTTGTTGTAGGGAAAGGTGTTGTCGTAGGTGAAGTTATTTCAGGGAGAGTTGTTGTGGTAGGTGGAGTTGTTGGAGGAAGAGTTGTGGTAGGGGAAGTTGTGGTAGGGAGACTTGTTGTTGTAGAGGGAGTTGTAGGGGGAGTTGTGGTAGGTTGAGTCGTTGTAAGGGGAGTTGTGGTAGATGCAGTTGTTGTAGAGGGAGTTGTAGTTGTAAGGGGAGTTGAAGTAGGGAGAGTTGTTATTGTTGGGGGATTTGTTGTAGGTGATGTTATTTCAGGGAGAGTTGTTGTGGTAGGTGGATTTGTTGATGAAGAGGGAGTTGTTGTCGTAGGAGGATTTGTAGGTGTAGGGGAAGTTGTTGTATGGAGAGTTGTTGTATTAGGGAGCGTTGTTGTAGGGGGAGTTGTTGTAGGGAGAGGTGTTGTGGTAGGTGGACTTGTTGTAGGGGGAGTTGTTGTAGGTGAAGTTATTTCAGGGAGAGTTGTTGATGAAAGGGGAGTTGTCGTAGGGGGAGTTGTCGTAGGTGAAGTTATTTCAGGGAGAGTTGTTGTAGGGAGAGTTGTTGTTGTAGGGGGAGTTGTTGTGGTGGGTGGATTGGTTGTTGAAGTTGGAGTGGTTGTTGAAGGGGGAGTTGTTGGAGGGAGATTAGTTGTTGTAGAGGGAGTTGTAGTTGTAGGGGCAGCTGATGTAGGTAGAGTTATTGTTGTAGAGGGAGTTGTTGTAGGCAGAGTTGTCGTAGGTGAAGTTATTTGAGGGAGAATTGTTGTGGTAGGTGGAGTAGTTGGAGGAAGAGTTGTGGTAGGGGAAGTTGTGGTAGGGAGACTTGTTGTTGTAGAGGGAGTTGTTGTAGGGAGATTTGTTGTTGTAGGGAGAGGTGTTGTGGTAGGTGGAGTTGTTTTAGGGGGAGTTGTCGTAGGTGAATTTATTTCAGGGAGAGTTGTTGTGGTAGGTGGAGTTCTTGGAGGAAGAGTTGTGGTAGGGGAAGTTGTTGTAGGGAGATTTGTTGTTGGAGAGGGAGGTGTCGTTGGGGGAATTGTGGTAGGTGGACTTGTTGTAGGGGGAGTTGTGGTAGATGCAGTTGTTGCAGAGGGAGTTGTAGTTGTAAGGGGAGTTGAAGTAGGGAGAGTTGTTATTGTTGGGGGATTTATTGTAGGTGATGTTATTTCAGGGAGAGTTGTTGTGGTAAGTGGATTTGTTGATGAAGAGGGAGTTGTTGTCGTAGGAGGATTTGTAGGTGTAGGGGAAGTTGTTGCATGGAGAGTTGTTGTAGGGGGAGTTGTTGTAGGGAGAGTTGTTGTGGTAGGTGGAGTTGTTGTAGGGGGAGTTGTTGTAGGTGAAGTTATTTCAGGGAGAGTTGTTGATGAAGGGGGAGTTGTGGTAGGGAGAGTTGTTGTAAGGGGAGTTGATGTAGGTAGAGTTATTGTTGTAGAGGGAGTTGTAGGGAGATTTGTTATTGTAGGGAGAGGTGTTGTGGTAGGTGGAGTTGTTGTAGGGGGAGTTGTTGTAGGGAGAGTTTTTGTTATGGAAGGAGTGTTTGTTATAGGGAGAGTTGTTGTGGTAGGTGGATTGGTTGAAGGGGGAGTTGTTGGAGGAGGAGTTCTGGAAGGGGGGGTTGTTGTAGGAGGAGTGGTTGTTGTAGGGAGAGTCATTGTGGTAGAGGAAGTTGTAGGCAGACTTGTCGTAACGGGAGTTGTCGTAGGTGAAGTTATTTCAGGGAGAGTTGTTGTGGTAGGTGGAGTTGTTGGAGGAAGAGTTGTGGTAGGGGAAGTTGTTGTAGGGAGATTTGTTGTTGTAGAGGGAGTTTTTGTAGGTGAAGTTATTTCAGGGAGAGTTGGTGATGCAGGGGGAGTTGTAGTAGGGAGAGTTGTTGTAGGGAGATCTGTTGTTGTAAGGGGAGTTGTTCCTGTAGAGAGAGTTGTTGTTATAGAGGGAGTGTTTGTTGTAGGGAGAGTTTTTGTGGTAGGTGGATTGGTTGAAGGGGGAGTTGTTGGAGGAGGAGTTCTGGAAGGGGGGGTTGTTGTAGGAGGATTGGTTGTTGTAGGGAGAGTCATTGTGTTAGGGAGAGTTTTAGGGAGAGTTGTAGTTGTAGGGGAATTTGTTGTAGGGAGAGTTGTTGTGGTAGGCTGAGTCGTTGTAAGGGGAGTTGTGGTAGATGCAGTTGTTGTAGAGGGAGTTGTTGTAGGCAAAGTTGTTGTAGGGGGATTTGTTGTAGGTGGAGTTGTTGTAGGTGAAGTTATTTCAGTTGTTGTGGTAGAATGAGTTGTTAACGAAGAGGGACTTGTTGTGGTGGGTGGATTGATTGTTGAAGGGGGAGTTGTAGGGAGATTTATTGTTGTTGAGGGAGTTGTAGAGAGAGTTGTTGTGGTAGGGGGAGTTGTTGTGCTAGGGAGAGTTATTGTGGTAGGTGTATTGGTTGTTGAAGGTGCAGTTGTTGGAGGAGGAGTGGTTGTTGTAGGTAGAGTCGTTGTGGTAGGTGTAGTTGCAGCTGTAGGGAGGGGGTTTGTAGGGAGAGTTATTGTGGTAGGTGGAGCTGTTGTAGAGGGATTTGTTATTGTAGTGGGACTTGTTATAGGTGAAGTTATTTCAGGGAGAGTTGTTGTGGTAGGTGGGGTTGTTGATGAAGAGGGAGTTGTTGTGGTAGGAGGATTTGTTCTATGGAGAGTTGTTGTGGTAGGTGGTGATGTAGTTGTAGGGAGAGTTGTTGGAGAGGGAGTTGTTGGGGGAGTTGTGGTAGGTGGAGTTGTTGTTTTAGAAGGATTTGTCGTAGGCAGAGTTGTTGTGGTAGGTGGATTTGTTGTTGTAGTTTGAGTTGTTTTGGAAGGGTCAGTTTTGGTTGTTGTAGGGGGGGTTGTTGTGGTAGGCGGAGTCGTAGGGGTTGTTGTGGTCAGGTGAGTTGTTGTAGGGGAAGTTGTGGTTGTTGTAACGGGAGTTTTTGTGGTAGGTGGAGTTGTTGTAGGGAGAGTTGCTGTGGTATGTGGAGTTGATGTAGGAGGAGTTGTTGTGGTAGGTGGAGTTGTTGTTGTAGAGGGAGTTATTGTGGGGGGTGGGTTTGTTGTTTTAAAGGGAGTTGTTGCGGTAGGGAGAGTCATTGTAGGTTGAGTTCTTGTAGGTGAAGTTATTTCAGGGAGAATTGTGGTATTCGGAGTTGTTGTAGGGGTCGTTGTCCCAGGGAGACTTTCTTTGGTAGGTGGAGTTGTTTTGATAGTTGTATTCGGGCTGCTTGTGGGAGTCGGAGTATGGCCAGGAAAACCTAAAATGAGAGTCAATAATTGTCTTAGTTGCTCTGTAAAACTACTTAAGCATCACATCACATTTTCATCTTACCAAGCATAACTACTGACCAGAGATGCTCACAAGTATTTGACCTAGAATCCAAGTCAAGTCTCTGAGATAGAGTCCAAGTCAAGTCTGAGGTCACTAGTGGTTATAATGAGTGATCCAGGCTGCTTATAAAACATAGATATAAGGAATTCTGTAACTGTAACCTGTTTTTCACTTACAGAGCACAATCATGTAATGTGCAATACAATTAATGACAGCTTATTAACTACTGTAATTCAACACACCCAGCAGACTCTCAAACCAGTGTAACAACTAAATAAAATTGTAACGCTTTTTACATGATCAACAATCAACGTTGCTTACATGATCAACAATAAACATGTAACCTGTTTTTCACTTAGAGAGCCCAACCATGTAGACTAATGCGTCTAAAACTAATCACAGCTCATAAACTACTGTAAGTCAACAGCTCCCCCAGAATCTCAAACCAGTGTCTCATTATGAAATCAACCCTTTTAAGGGCAGAAACCTTTCATTCAATAAGGCTGCAATCACTTTCTGGCAAGTGGAAAACTACATTTTTTGGGGTTTTTTAAGAGGTAAAAAGGAGAGGATCGGTTGGTACACAGCAAGTAAAATAATGATAATAATAATAATAACTCAGCAGTAAGTCATGTTAATTATAAGCTACAGTCTGTTTTCCAAACATAAACAAGGATATTAGACATACCCTACCAAACACATAATCCATTGGCAACAACGGGCTTCTATTATTACCTATAATCACGTAAAATGTCATGCTTTACTACGTTATAAACTGCATACACTTATTTGGCCACAATAGTGAATATTCCGTTAAAAGAAACAGTAAAGTTTCACAAAGACATATCATTGCTATGCAGCTTGAAAGCTGTATTGCCCAGTCTCTTTACGACTACAGCTGCATCTGGGTCAAACAGACATAACAAGCAAATAAACACACTTTATGTCCGTAGTAATAGGCAATCAGTTTTCGGCAAACAATCACTTTTTGGCAAGACAGGTGTGTTTGTTGTCCTCTCTCACGTGTGGCTGCGCACAGCAGATACGTAGTTGTGTTACGTAGGCAGGTTACGCAGGGAGGGAATAACAGGAAGCTCGTCAGATGTTTCCTAAAAATAAACATTGTACAGGAGTCCCGCACCTCGAGTCCCAGTAAAGTCTGAAGTCTTTTGAGGACGAGTCTCAAGTTGAGTCTGAAGTCACTGTGTGTGCGACTTAAGTGCGACTCAAGTCCAAGTCTCAAACTTGAGTCCCCATCTCTGCTACTGACATCTCTAAATACAAAAATGTGAGTGCGGGCAGCGCGCGCACACACATACACATACACACACATAAGCACACACTCACTCCCCGCTCCCTTCCAGCTTCATTAAGCCCTACACAAACCTCATTATTATGCATTTTTCTTTGCCGTTTTAGTAGCGCGATCAAGGGTGCACACTTGGTAGATCTACTCTTCTTTAAACATTCATTTAAACAGACATCATAAACACTTACTGTGTCGAGCTGCATTCCAGGTTCGCTCTGTTGTTTCCCGTTTGGTTTGGCAAAACAGGAGCATAACATTTCCGTCTTTTAAATAGTATTTTCTTGTGCGCTTTCATGATCACCTGAACAGCACAATTATGGTTTTTGGTGGAATAATAATTTGTGATGCAAATAACTGTTTCAGGGGGAGGAAAATGGTTGTGGAGAGGGATATTTATTGTTGAAAATATATCGGAGTGTAATAGATATAAATCCTTTTCTGTAGTTTGTAAAATGTGTTTATTGTATTGTGTAAATATTTGTTAAGCCTGGTGGGAGTGGCTACTGGCTATAAAAGTAGCAGCTTTGGGCCTGCGAAGTCTTGGCAAGTACATAAAAGGTCAATACATAAATGCTGATGGCATTAAATCAATTACAAACAAAAAACTCCTACTCATGAAAAGATATACTCTGTTTACATTTTGGTTACCTTGAACCAGGAGACTATGCAGGTGCTTGATGAAGGGGTGGTTGCCCCGTTTACAGAACTGTCCACTGAAGTCATCCAGGTCCAGAGACCATACAAATGCTCCTCCAATGTTGTTTGTTTTTAGGTAACTGACCTGAGAGGAGGAGAAAGAAAACACTTCTGAAACAGCTGAAGTCATATTTTCAAAATGTGTACAACTAGTCATTTGCAAAGAAGTTAGTGAACAATTGTATAATTTACCAGATAATTACCTTAGCGTCAAGGCTATCATCATTTTCAAATCCAACCCACTGATTTTCAGTGGTGGCATATGGAACTCTCTGATCAGTAATCAGGTGGGTTGTAACCCCTTCGAGATAAAGGCAGGTCTGAAAAGAAGGGTCAAATGTTATATTTAGATCTCATACTTTAACATAAATGGATATTAACACCAAATATAGTAAAAGTGGTAAGCCTGTAATAAGGTTACTGGTGTAGAAAATAATTATGTTCTCAAGTCGGAGTTTTACCTCATAAAAGGCCCAGAATCCCATTTCACCGGTGTAACAGCCATCCTCACCAGGACCGTCGGCTGGTGCTCCAACATCACTGGATGCAGAGGAAAGATCAAAAGCTCGTCCATACGCAGCTAACCCCATGTTTAACTTTTGTGGGGGCGCTCCTTTGTCCTGCCAATACTGCATAGCAGAGTCCTAAAATGTGTTGAAAAAAACCCCAAACAATCCAGATGAGAGGACATAAATAGAAAGGTGTTCAGGTGGGTAAAATATAAATCCCTGTACTTGCAGTGTTTGAGTAGATTTTGTCTCCAGTGTCTTGGGATCCTCTGTATAAGGGACTGTGATGTCCTGTGACATTTTCCCAGGGGCCATGAAAGTCAAAGGTCAGTACATTAATGAAATCCAGGTACCTGATAAAATGCAGAGGAGATTATGTTCACCAAAACATGACAACAGCTTATCATGGGTATAATGTCAAGAATTACATTAAATTAGTTTTACATGGCAATTTGTGCAACTTCATAACTGGAATCGATGGTTGATTTTTCCGCAGAGACACTAGCAGTGATGATTAATCTGTCATGGTTAGTTTTTGTTCCCTCAGCCACAAAGGCCTCTTTGAGCTCCTATACAAAAAGGAAACATTGCTCAGTCTCAGTATAACCACATATTGTCATACATGGCACATACAGGATGGCACATTCCAGACAGTGTCTGTCCCAGAAAAGAAATTTAGGATCTTACCTTGCACAGCAGTGTGAATCTCTGATTATCCTGTTGTTGACTTCCAGCTTCTCTGGGGAATCTCCAGTCTAGGTTTAGCCCATCAAACCCATTTGCTCTCAGTAGTGCGATAGCAGACAGGATGAACTTTTTTCTTTTGCTTTGTGTTGACACCATTGTAGTGAATCTGGTAAACATTTGAACACAACAGTCCTCTCAAGAAGACAATCCACACATTGTATGAGTTGGTGTCATCCACTTTAAGGGCTTACAAACACAAAGAGCAGTGCAAAACACAAGATCATTTGTGTAAAGACAAATACACAGCCTTAGGGGAATGGTCTGGTTTTAGTAAGAGTAGTAAGAGTAAAATAAAAAGCATGTTAAATTGTATGGGTCTTCAGTTATTGTAATGAAGGGCCCTTCTTTACCAGTGATTGACTTTTAAATTTTGTACTGGTCTGATAGTAATTGCAGTTGTAACAAATAACATAATCACATTAATGATGGGGTAGCAATATTTCACACTATATTAGCAGGATTTGCACAGAACATTTTGTACTTTATAATATTTATTGAAATGTAATATACCAGACAGTATAAAAGGCTCCAGTTTCTTGTCTGTCTGTGTTGTTGGTTAGGTCTCACTACCTGTATTGATGCCATGCTTGTACTTGCTTGTTGTTATTTTTGAATAAAACACCGCCTGGTTTGGTATACTGCATTATCACTTTGAACTCTCTGTCCACTGCATTGTCCATCTGCTAAATGATCATTCTAACAGTGTTTAATATGGATGCATTTAATTTTCATTAGAATTAATGGTTTGCAACATAAACAAAATTAAATTAAACTGAAGTTAAATATTTAAATGCAATTACCAAATACATTTGGTGTTTGCTGATCCCAACAATACTGACCTTTTTTATGTGCTCATATTTATCCGATTGTTTCCCAGCAACCGACTTTTGGTTTCACACAATGTAATGAAGGTATCAGGTATAAATATTTCTGTTGGTTGGACTATATTGTCTATTATGTATATTATTATTATATGTGTCTATTTTAGGGACCCCGAATAGTCAATCTCACATTTTATCATTTTTAAACATCCAGCTACTTGAAATAGATCCCTGAGGAACTACAACGTGCATGCAGTTGTCGGCAGCACGGCATGTATGGTGTACGGCATGTTTGGCTCGCAATCGCCGCGCACAAAAACACACATGATTCGGCTATCAGTCGACTATAGGCAGGACTTGACGATTTTGATTCGACTATGTAAATCCTTCGGGGACAGCCATAGTCTATTTGCATTATAATGTAGTTGCACATTTTGTTTGTCTGTTGATGGAATCATGAAATAAACTTATTTATGTAATTAAATACCAGCATTTCATGTTGTGTTACCTTATTAGTATGAATTCATGCACAATGCATACTGTGGGAGGCACCATAATATTACATGAAGGAGCAAATAAAGTTTCATGGTCAAGAATATACCAACATTTTGAGGAGACTTACTTTTGTGTGTCAAAGGTCAAGCCACCAACAGCCAACAGGGTTTTGAGCAGGGGATTTCTGTGGAAGCATAATAATTGCTTTTTAACAAAACACAAAATTCAACATAATTTACATATAATATAATATGTATAGGCTAAAGCACTGACCTGCTTTTGAGTCCAACAAAGGACTGATACTGTTGTATATCAGTTTCTCTGCTGGGGACCAGGTGATGTTGGTCGTTAATGTCAGAAAAGGCATAGATGAGATGGGTACACTGGTTCGGATCGATATCTGACACCATGAATCTCCCACTCTCGGGTCTACTTTCAGCCAAGCTGTTATAGTAACACACCAGCCTGAAGGAAGAGGCTTAGATATGGAAAAAAACATTGGTTTGTGAATACATCAATTATATCAACATACTTGTTTACATACAATTGTTGACTTAGGTATATTATTTATGTGCTAGTAAGACTATTGATTGTGATGAATGCGACTAAACTTACCCAAGTCGGCGATGATCAAACAGAGACCTTTAAAGTGACATACATGGTCAGTTTTAGGTTAGAAAACTAAGATTACCAGGTCAGTTAGCTCAAATTGCCAATATATTTTTTAAAACAGATTTTCTTAGTCACATCTACTGGTCTCTATCATTATAGATCAACACAGTCTCACTCCCTACTCGTCAAATGTCTGACGCATGGTCAAGGCCCTTTGTCGTCGCTTTTTAAAGACTTGGGTAGCCCTTTTGCATCAATTATTGACGTTTAGGGATCCACAGTCAAGTTAGCAACGCTTAGCAACAATAAATATGCAATATCCGCTTACACTTTCAAGATAAAACGTAACGTTTCGATACATTGCCATGTTGAAACGCGCATAATTAAAGTCGTGAAACGTTGCAGTTTCGTTAGGTTTAGGCACAGAAAGTACTTGGTTGGGTTTAGGCAACAAAACTACTTGGTTAAGGTTAGGAAAAGATCATGGTTTGGGTTAAAATAGCTATGTATGTCAATTAAGACTTAAGTTAACTAGCTTTAATGTCAATTTACCTCACTCGCCTAAATAAAAACATTTAATGTTTTGTTTCGCACGGGACACAAACCCTGTTCTCCTGCTTCAAGGTCCGGGTTCTGGCCCTCTATCCACCCCATTCACCTCCTTACTTCGTCTTTTCTCTTAAATATCATACTTGCCTTTACAATCAAAAACTGACACAACAGGGCTTCCCTCAATACGTCGAACTATGACGTCAAAGGGATCCCTAGTACGTCACAAATTGACGATTATGACTCTTGACCAAGCGTCCATATGTGACGACTTGGGAGTGAGACCGGGTTGTATAGATAAGTTTGGTTTTATTTAAATCGGTAAATGAGACATTGCTCTCTAAGATATCTGCAGCCACCCTAATACATTGCAGGTGAGTGGAATTTTGTTTACATTTTAAACATTCAACAGCAAGTGTCTATCTAGAAACTCTTTCCCCCATATTCTGGATAATCCACAGGTGTCCCTGTGCATGTTGTGTTTCTGAAAAGAATTGCCAGTGTAATTTCTAAATGCATTTTTTTGCAATAAGCACACAAACCAAAATCCATTCACTTTCACTGTATTCTGTCTGTAATCTGAGAAAATATGGGTAGACAATACAAAAACGTTCTGCATGGCTAAGTACAACTGGAGTTAAATGAGAAAAAGTGTGTTCAAATAAACATTTAGTTGACCAGCATGCCTTACCTGCAGTTAAAATTAGCTTGCACATGTTGTTACTAGGTGGATAAGCAGAAACAGAAGAAAAAACTTAGTTTAATATGAAGTTAAAAAAATAAAATACTATTTTGAAAGAAATTGTTGTTAAACTGTTGCTCAAAGATGTTTCAGTATTTGCTCTGGCAAGTTCAAGCCCTTTCTTCAATATAATGTAGGTCGACTATTTGTGCATCAAATAAAGGTGAAAACTGTTCAATTGTACTAGACTGTAACTTAAACATCATGTTAGACTGTAAATTTAATTAATTTCAATCATGACTACATGTTTTTTATAGTGTATACAGCATGAGTCAGGATATGACATTGTGTCACTATGCAAGCTTTAAATTCACCTCTGAAATGAGTGACATTTCTTCACAATATTTAACTTGTATGTACAAATAATTGAAAACAATACACAGGAAAATCAGGCACTGAAAGCTATGTTTAGAAACAGGAGTTAGTTTTCTTACAGGCACTGTTAACTCAAAATGAATGGTGGCAAAGGCAGTGTCAATGAGTGGTTACTGAATGGTCCCAGTATTTTAGTTCATTTTAATCAGACATGCCACAATGCACCACCTGAACATATCATCACGTTTCATAGAGCACTTATAGTCAATTTCCACTGGATTCAGGAGCCTTTATTTTTGTATTATTTCACAATTTCTCAACTGACAAGTCAATGATGGCTAATTAGGAAACATCCATCCATCCAACCGCTTATCCTGTGTACAGGGTCGCGGGGGGCTGGAGTCAATCCCAGCTCCCATCGGGCAGTACACCCTGGAAAGGTCGCCAATCCATCGCAGGGCAATTAGGAAACATCTTCTTTTAATATTATCTTTATAATCTTAAGACTGTTGCTTGTTGAGGTCCAGATATTGTTACCTCAACAAAAAGTTTCTCATCATTTCCTGTGACAGCTACACCCCAGAAAAAGGAAGACAAGAAGTCGTACCAGTGAAGTACCACTTAAGGCATCTTATGTCAAAACTGTGCTGCTTTTGTGAGTGTAAAATAACGTCACAGCCATTGTGACACTTGACTCCTGCCTGATTTTGAGACGGAGGGCCTTCCTCATTTCCCAAATTTGTGCCTCCTTGCCACCTCGGCTTGTCAATCCTCGAGCCTGTGACCCAGAAATCGGTCTCAACGCGTCATCCTGAAGGACATCTCAATTCCTTTAATGCACCTGGAGGAGTGAGGCTCGAGGAGGCACAAATTAGGGAAATGAGAAAGGCCCTGAGTGAGTGTGTTTGATTTGTTTTCCTTTGGGTGAGTGAAACATGCTCGGTGTGTTTTTGTTTGGTCTGTCTCTCCTGTCCTCCCTTCACCCCAATTATGGATTCCTGGGCAGGTCTGGCTCTCTGGGTTAGCACAAGCTGCACCTGCTCACAATCACACACCTGTTCCTGGTCAGCCATCTCCACTGCTTCTTAAAGACAGGCCTGACAACCTGTTCCTGCTGGATTGCTAAGTCTTGAGCCGTAGGTTTGATCTTAACTTCTAGCTCTGTAGCCAGTGTTTATCAGCACCTGTCGCCTGAATTAATTCCTGTCTTCTTTTCTCCAGATCACCTGTTCTGCTCACTCAGCCTGCCAAGCCAGCCCCAGTCCTCACCTGCCAGCCGCTCAGAAGGAAAACCCCAGTGCCCCTGTCTTTAGTTCACTCACTCCACTGTTGAGAAATAATCTGTAAACTGCTGCATTGCCTCCTCATCTGCATCTGGGTTCAGGCATAATTCCTGACACACTGGTGGAGGTTAGAAAGGACTGGGAATGAAACTCAGACCAGCCAATCAAACCCCCCCTCAGCAATAAATCACCAAGCATGCAACCCATGCCACTCTTTATGTAAACAAGTAGTTTCCATAATAGTAGTGTTCTGCATGTAAAATGATGTCAATCTGTTGCCAATGTTTTTGTCGGAACCTGGTTACGTTAATCTCTGAAAGTCATCTTTTCTGCATAAATGTTATTAGGGAAAATATTAAAATGCAAAAAAAAATTAGGAAATATAAATTTACAGACTTTTGCAGATTATCTAAATTATGGATTTAGCTAGATGGGAACACAGTTACCGAATATCACTTGTATTCATTAAAATGTTTTTTGTTTTTATGAACCAAGGGCACTGTTGAGAGTTAAGTTGTGTTTAGACTTGACAAAGAAGCATCAGTTTGTCACAGTCATCCATGTTTTTTGCTTATGGTTGGAACTTTTGGAGGTCCAACTTTGACTGGAATGCATTATGCTTTTGTCAGCTTCTCTTCCAGCCAATTACGTTAGGTCCAGTACATACTACCTTTACCTGGGCCCCGCCTCTTTCCCATCCCTGTTAAGTAGTGACAATTGGATAAATAGTTGAGTGGAGCAAGATGGACAATCAAAAAGAGAAAGTAAAGGTTGTGATGAAAAGCTGAGAGAGTCTGTTGAGGCAGTTCAATGAGGCTGATACAGCCAACATTTTAAAACAACATTGAGTCCTTTGGCATCCTTAACCAATCAATAATTTCAGCCTAGTGAGTCTCAAGGCATGGGCAGCAGAGAGGAGAGAGAGCAGCCCATTGAGCAGTCAATTGACCCCAGCTGATACCAGTTTAATTGTTAGTCAAGGTTTTGCAGCTGCAAAGTTAAGACTGAATACAAGAGGGGTAAGCCAATCTCACAGCTGAATCTTCGCAGAGGTGTTATGAAACAAGGATCATGCCATTTAGGCTATATTTTTGCATTTTACATAGAACTACTGTTTTTCTTCCAATTCAGTCAGGACATCTTTCATTAAAGATTGATATTGCGGAACTGTAGCTGTGTGTGTTTGGCGGTTTGGCTCTGCTCTGGGATCTCCCTGCACACACGGGGGAGTGCACCCACACGCAGTGGCCAGCGCAGAGTCTGCGGTGGAAATGGTGAAGTGAAGGTAACTGAACTACTCAAGTTGGTGACAGCTGCCCTCGTTACTGTAGTAAGTGCAATAGAACCTCCCGAGTAAAAGACAATACCGTAAAACTTTGATTAATAACCCGGGATTTTATTTACTAAAATCACTGAATTGACCCTGCCTTTATATGGGACAGGCCTTTAATTTCTTTTGGACAAAACTGAAACTCCTATGAAAACAATTAATTTATATCAAACCGTATGAATATTACTTGTATAAAAAATATATCAAATAAACTAATTCGTTTGATCTAGCTCTGACAGACTGCTTTGCACTTTTATTCTGTAGGCAGCAATGTAACGAAAACACACACACAAATAAATAATCAAGGAATGGACACATTCAGACTTAACAAGCACATCAAAGGTAATGGGAGTCTGCACTTTTTTCTCTTGTTCCATGCCGGTTACACTGGTAAATCTATATGAATTAGACTCGGGATTGTAAAATGAACTGAACAATTACATTGTGGAGAATCTAACCAATCTAAAAATAAGAGGTTTTGTACACAACACGTTTCTTAACATTATAAAATAGTTTAATTTATCTATATTTAACATATTGTAATTTTGTATGGGCAAGTACTTTTCCAACTTATCTTGACCAAATATTGCTGCTCCAGAAATGGTTTATTAGATTAGCAACTTTTTCCAAACCTATTGTACCAATTGCTCTCTTTTTTTAAACTCATTTCCATAATTATCCGACTAGACAAGCTAAGAATCTTCCTCTGTATAAAACATCCAGTCAGTTTTCTATTAAATGTCATGGAGTTATCTTGTGGAATGAGTGTGCATTTAATGGATTTCTCTATGTTTTGTAGTGGGTACAAAAAGAGATTTAGATTGCCTGCTGTCAAACATTTGAGAAAACTGGTTACTCCTAGAAACGTTCATTCTATACATTAGGTAATTACTCCTGCTCTCTGTATTTCTTTTGGATTTTATTATTATTTTTTTGTATTTGTGATTTTGTGTTATCTTTATTGTATGTATGCCTTTTGGGTATGGTTATTCATGTAAGCCATTATAGGCTTCTACCACACCCTCACATGTATTTTTATTTTATTTTTTTAAGATTTCCTTAATGTGTTTATCTATGTGTGTGAAATTTTTAATAAATAAAAATAAATATGAGTAATTGTTTTGTGTCTCAGAGGAGAGATTTATTTTCACAATCTGCACTACAACAGGGACTGACAAAGTTAATGTTAAATCTTATATCCAAAACAAATCTCCTGTACCAAACCTGTTGTTCCAAAACAGATAAATCAACTCTCAGTTGTTGTGTGGGTGTTAAAACACATTTACCACAGGGTGTCACCAACATGTTTCATTATTGCAGCACTACTGCAAAACTAGAAGAACATAAAGACACTCATTGAATAGGTTAAATTTATTGACTGAAACGGCTTCCTTTAGTCAATAGCTACAATGAACAATACAAAAGGGAAATTTAAGCAAGTCTAAGATAATTTATTTGACAACACTCATGCATTAAGCTACATTAAAAGGTTGAGGGAAAATCAAAGTCTAGATATCAGCTGTAAAAATAAAATGAGACAATATTCTCTGACATGAATATAAATTGATGACCTCATTTTCATTGAGTGATCTACAATTTAGAAATATTGCAGGAAGTTTGCTCATTAGTAATGGGTAGCTCTTAAAAGAACCGTTTTGGGTGTGCTTGTGCACTTGGTATCTTGCCATGGGGCAACTCCCTCTGCAGAGAAGTAGGATGTGCTTATAAATTAACAGGCGCTCTACAGCAGAGATAGAAAGCCTGAAGTTGGTGTCCATCCATGAAATTCTGGCACCGATCTAACAGGTCATCAAACTGGGCACTGTTCAGCACTGTTCAGCCTAAGGTAGCGCTGGTAGCGGCAGTGATCCAGGCGCAATTCCTGGAGAAGGCAGTGAAATTCACCGAGCTGGGTGCGCCTTTGGATGATATTGTGCACCGAAACACGTCCCGATGTTTCTGGGGCTTTAACAACAGATACAAAGCAGCAATTGGTTTATCGGCTATGGTTGATGACGGAAAGAAATAGCAGAAATAGAACTTGTCATTATTTACGGGGAAGCCCCTCCTCCTCTTTTTCGCGGAAGAGAATGAGAAAGTCCGGAGCTCACGTAGCACAAAGAAATAACGCAATAATAACGCAATAAAAATATGGTACCAGCGGTCAAACTACCAGGAGTAATGCGTGGCGAACATTCATTTTGTGTTGTATGTGAAAACAACATTACATAACTGTGCCCGCAAAATCTTGGCCCTGATCTCTGCTACTGGCCCTGGGCAAGACCGTCGGACCTGCTCCAGGAGTTTCCTGGAACTGCACCTCCCGCTGCACAGCGGCCTCTGCCCTGTACACCACACCGGAAAGCCAGCAGGAGCATCTTGTCTCTGCTTGTGTTAAAAAAAGTCGACTGAACTATTTTTTGTTGTGATAAAGAGTTGATGTTGAATAAAATAGATTTATTCACATTTAGAGAAGTTAAGTCTACTGTTTATATTATCTACTGTTCATATATATTTTTATTTTGCTATTTATCTGTTTTAAATATATGTAACTTCTGGTTTTACTGTAAAGTGTCTTTGAGTTTCCTAAAATGTATTATTATTATTAGTTTGAGATTTCCCTGAAATGTAAAGTGCATTATAAATAAAATTTATTATTATTATTATTATGATTATTATTTTTAAGTGCCCTAGCATTATGTTACAGTTTTACTGTTGTGATTCGCCATCCAATCACAATGCTTACTTCACTATTACCAATAAGATTGTGTTTATTTTTGTTGGGATCACAGGGACCTCACAAAGTTGAAGATGTTCATTTGTGATCTTAACTGAACTTAACTTCTATCATGTGAGTTACTGAACTCTATTTCAGTTTCTGCTGTGAATTCAGCCTAGAAGTCATTTGCAGCTTCAATTGGTCAATGACCTGTGACCTCAAACACCTCATTGATAAAAGTAGCACAGGGTCTGTTACCACTCTCTTCCTCTTGACTTCTCTCTCCCTCAGCTCTGCTCCCCTTCTTGAGGACAGCAAAAGACTACAATTGAACAATTCTTCACTGCCTTCATCGCCTTTACTGGATTTAATCCCAGTACATAACAGAAGCCAGGGCACCGTTGGCTAGCATGTGGAGGTCTGTGCGACCCTCCAAGGATATCCCTCCCCAAATCATCACCCACCCAGTGCCAATCCCATCATGCTGGATGGTGCTGCACACAGCATAATGTTCACCACAGAGTCTCCAGACTCTTTCACGTGTGCTCAGTGTGAACCTGCTCTGATTTGTGAAGAAAATGGGGCACCGTTGGCAGACCTGCCAATTCTGGTGTTCTCTGGCGAATTCCAATCCAGCTGCACAGTGCTGGGCTGCAAACACAGATCCCACCAGAGGACATCAGGCCCTCATGCCACCCTCAAGGAGTCTGTTTCTGACAGTTCGGTCAGAAACATGCACACCAATAGCCCACTGGGGCTCATTTTGGTCTCTGGCAGGGCTCCTCCTGTTCCTCCTTGCACAAAGGAGCAGATACCGGTCCTGCTGCTGGGCTGATGCCCTTCTACGGCACTGTCCAGCTCTCCTTGTGTCGCCCACATGCTCTTGAGGCTGTGCAATGGCACACATGGATGTGCCATACTGGAAGAGCTGGACAACCTATGCAACATTAATGGGCTTACAGAACTGCCTCACGCTACCAGTAGTGACAAGGACACAAGAAAAAAGTATAACTAGAGTACAATCAGTCAGGAAGGAAGAAAAGAGCAATTGCCTGTCATTCCAGAGGTGAAGTAGTAGTGAAGAAGTATTCTGGTACAGTAGAAATAATCTGTTACAAGCAATATTCCTTACTTATTTATAGCAAAAGTATTATATCTATTATGAAAATACACCAAAAATAAAAGTAGTCACTATGCAGAATGGCCTTTTTCAGAATAATTTGTGTTTTATTATTGGATTATTATTATCACTTAAATCTTTTATCCCACAGGGATCAATAAAGTATTATCTTATAATTAAACATCATAATTTATGTGTTGAGTACATTTTGCATAATTAGTCTGAATCTGCAAATTAACTAGTAAATTATCAGATTCATTTAGTGGAGAAAAACTTGCAATATGTCCCTATCAAATGTAAAGGAGTAAAGCAGAAAGTAGCAGAAAATGGAAATTCTCAATTAAGGTACAAGTACCTCAGAATTACCTCAGAAGTACTTGAGTAAATGTTATTTTCCACCACTTGACAGCACTCAACCAAGAGATATTTTGCAAGAGTATTAACCTCAATAAACACACAAGTTGTAAATGTATTCGTCCTCATATCACAAATTTG